ACCTTAACAAGCATCTCAAGAAACTGAAGTTTCATATGATCTCCCTGGCCTCCATCATTCCTTCCCTGGATCCAGGAGACTGGTACACTGCCTTCAATTTGAAAGATGCTTGCTTTCACATATTGATTTCCAATGCTCACAGATGATTCCTACTTTTCATGGTTGGGACTGCCCATTACCAATTTGCGGTGCTCCCGTTTGGCCTGGCAACAACGCCAGTTGTGTTTACCAAATGCATGCCGGTGGTGATGGCCTACCTCAGATGTCGGGGTATCCAAATTTACATGTACCTCGACGACTGGCTCATCGGGGCCTGTCCAGGTCCAATGCAGGGTCGAGATGCTTGCAAGCCACTTGTTGAGCGCTGGGCTTGCTGTTAAACGACCAAAAATCAGTATTAATCCTGGTCTTGTGGATAGTTTATTGGAGCGGTTCTCGATTCTACCCGAGCCAGAGCGTTTCTGCCAGAGGACAGGTTCTGGGCAATGTCAGATCTAATTGCCAACATCGCCACACGTCTGCTCACCATGGCCTGGGTCTGTCTCAGACTACTGGGTCACATGACAGCATACACGTATGTCGTCCACTGTGCGAGGCTCAGACTGCACCCCTTTCAAATGTGGCTAGGCAACAGTCTATTCCCCATCCAGACACCACCTGGACAAGGTCTTCATGGTCCCATCGAAGTACTCACCTCTCTACAGTGGTGGACTGACCCAAAGTTGGTGCTGGTGCCCTTCGAGAGTCCACAACCCACAGTCTCCCTTATATTGGATGCCTCCTACCTTGGTTGGGGAGCATATCTCAGTACGCTGTGGACTCAAGGGACATGGTTTCGGGAGGAGCTCGTGTTACATATAAATGTCAGGGAGCTCAGGGCCATCTGCCTAGCCTGCGGAGTCTTCCTACCCCAGCTTTCTGGCTAGGTAGGGCAGATGTTGACAGACAACATCACCTTGATGTTCTAAATCAACAGGCAAGGGGGAGCACGCTCATCGGCTCTCTGCCAGGAGGCCCTACGCCTGTGGGACTTCTACATCCAGCATGCGATGCACCTGGAAGCCTTGCATCTTCCTGGTGTCCAAAATACGCTGGCGGATCGCCTCAGCAGGTCCTTCTGTCACCATGAGTGGTCACTCCGCTCGGAGGTAATAGAGGCACTCTTCCGAAAGTGGGGGGCTCCCTGAATGGACCTGTTCGCCACCAGACAGAACAGTAAGTTTAATCAGTTCTGCTCTCTCCAGGGCGTCGGCAGGGGCGCCCTTTCTGATACCTTTCTCCTGTCATGGTCAGGAGACCCGATGTACACGTTTCCATTGATTCTGCTTATCGGCAAAGTCCTGTTGAAAATCAAGAGGGACAAGGTGTGAGTCGTCATGATTGCTCCAGTGTGGCCTCACCAGCATTGGATCAGCACGCTCATGGAAGTGGCCATGGCAGCCCTGTGGCTACTGGCCGGCCACCCGGACCTGCTCTCGGATGACCACAGTCGGCTCCTGCACCCAAATCTTACCTCTCTCCACCTCACAGCTTGGATGCTTCATGGCTGAACTAGGAGGAACAGGCCTGTTCTAGTAAGATACAGCAGGCTCTCTTGTAAAGCAGAAAGTCCTTCACCAGAGCGACTTGCATAGTGAAGTGGAAGCACTTCTTCTGCTGGGCGTCGGAGTGCAACATCTCCCCAACCCAGTTGTTTCTGCAGTCCATCCTGGATTACCTGCTTCACTTAAAGTACCAGGGCTTTGCCCTCTCTTCGGTCAAGGTGCACCGGGCAGCCATATCGGCCTTCCACCCTCGCGTCCAGGGTAAATTGTTCTCACATGAGATGTGTGACTGGTTTTGCCACAGAGACCCCCTTGAGCTGTGTTGCAGTCGACACATCCACGAACTCCTACCCGCCTCTGGTGGTACTGCTTGGGAATCACCTATAAAGGAATGGAAATGAGCAAGCACTCGAAGAAGAAAAGACAGTTATCTTTTCATTACTGGTGTTCTTCAAGATGTGTTGCTCATGTCCATTCTATGACCTATCCTCCTTCCCCACTGTTGGGAGTTTCTGGCAAGAAGGAACTGAGGGTGGGGGGAGCCGGCAACCCCCTTTATACTGGTGCATACGCATGCCACTCCAGAAGGCACCAGAGCCAGTCCCCTACAGATGCCACCGGGGGGAAAAAATTCCGGCACTGGTGCATGTGGCAAGCACACCCACCTACAATGGAATGGACATGAGAAACGCATCTCGAAGAACACCAGTTACAAAAAGGTAACTGTCTTTTCTGTCTTGGACACATTCAAAAATGTGTTTGCCAGTTGGCCTACCTCTGAGACTCACCTGACATAAAACACCTTCACAATTGTGCTCCTCTGTAATGTGTCATTGCTCAGTGGTATCTTTCTGAAAAGCTTACTTTCTGGTTCTACGACCAGAACAATTTTCTTCAGGAGTTCTCCACCGCTGAATAGTTTCCATGCTTTCCCCAAAAGTAGTGCAACTTTAAAAGTAGCCACCCAAATCTGATCCACTTTATTCAAAAAATCTCTGAGACGCTGCTGTTGTATTTTGAACTCAGGGTTTGCATCATGTAATAGTTTGCACCTCGTGGTAATTCTGTTTCAAGTACCCATGGTATAGTGACGTTGCATTGCATAAATTTTGATTTGATGAATTTCTCTCTTACAAACAGCACACACTGCAACTTGCTCAGAAACTGAATCAGACAACTTCAGAATTACAAGAAACTGCTTTTAAACCCGTCTTGAAATGTTGGTTTTTCTTCCTTCCATGTTTTGCTTTTCTTAGCAGGAGGTGGGACCATCTCTATATCACATTCAGGGTCACATTCTAGTGCTGATTTTTTGAAAAACTTTCTGATATCCATTCGTGTCTTTAAGTCTTTTGCCTTCTGCCACAAACAATCTCAGCCTACTCAAACACCACACAGTGACCTTGCTGATGATGACATTGACGAATAGCTGCTTACGGAACTACAGTAGTGGGAGATGTAAACACAGTATGAAAACATTTTGTGACTTGAAAGAAAACCACACCTATGTAATTCAGCTCTGGCTGAACTGTAGTAATATGTAGAAGGGAATGAGTATGCATTATGATTTATGGAGTTTACAAGGCAACTTTAAAACTTTACATCTCCACAATTGTTGGGGCACTCGGGTACATAGGAGTATTTTGACTTCTGTATTTGGGGGAGCAGGGCGTTGTGGATTTAACCAGGACTGAACAGGGCCTTATGGGTGGGTGATGTGGGCAACCGCACACAGTGCCGTGGTGTGGGGAGCACCAGGGTCAAGAAGCAAGGAGCGGCTAGGCCTGGGGTTTGAGGCTTCGGAAGGGAGCTCAGGACAATGGGGAAAAGGCAGCAGGACACATGGGTGATGGGGCGGTAGGTGGGGAGCCCGGAGAGGCAGCAGGAATTAGGGATGATGGGGGCAGTGCTTAATTTGTAACGAAAGAAGTGTCAGGGCTCAAGCTGGGTAGCCAGAGAGTGGCGGCTGCTGGTGGGTGTCCAACTCTGAAGGCAGGGTGGCATTAGGGTGCTAAGTGTGCTGTGAAAAGTGATATTTGTATCTTCGTTAATGTCACTTTTCACAGCAAGTCCTGTGGATGGAGAGTTGTGGGGGCGCTGCCGTGTGATTGGGGCTGATGATCGGCACTTTGGGCCAGCACCCGCAGGAGCCCAAGGTTGGTGCCCGCTGCTGTGTTGACAGGGCTGGGGATCAGTGTCAACTCCCACGTGTCCAGGGGTCGGCACCTGGGCTCCTCACCTGCTGCTGCATGGCTGGAGCTAGGGGTTGGCATCCAGGGCCAGTATCCGTTGTTGTATGGGCAGGGCTGGGGGTTGACGCCCCCACCATGTGTCCAGGGGTCAGCATCCAGGGCCACTGCTTGGTGTCCGCGGAGTCTGCTGCAGTGCGACTGGGGCTTAGTGTCGGCATCCAGGACGAGTACCCGCTGAAGCCAGTTGCCGTGCGATTGGGGCTCCGTGTCTAGCGCAGGGGATCAGCACCCTATGCCATGTGGCTGGGGGTTGGCACTTGGGGCCTGCCTTTGGATCTGCACCTGCTGCTACATGACCAAGGCTGGGGGTTGGTGTCCAGGGCCAGCACCCACTGGAACCTGACGCCGCGCAATCAGGACTGGGGGTGGGCGCCCAGCTCCAGCACCCGCTGGAGTCTGCAGTCGGTGCTGGAGATATGCACCCAGGGATCAGCGCCCAGAGCCCGTGCCCACTAGAGCCCAGAGTCAGCAACTGGGGCCAGCAGCCAGGGCTGGGGGTCGGCACTTGGGGTTCGCAGCTGCTGTCACATGGCCAGGGTTAGGGGTCAGTGTTGGCGCCTGGGGGTTGGCACCTGGGGTTGGTGATTGGGGTCTGTGCCTGCTGCCGCACTGTGCTTGCTGCCCACCCCCGCTCCACCCGGTGCTTGCTCCGTCAGCGTTGTATGTCCCACCTGTCTCCAGAGGCGGTGCAGGGCAGAGCATCCAGGAGCAATAGGGAGGGGGCGGGGGAAGCTGATGCTTTGCCGCTCCTCTCCCACCCCCGATCACCGCCCAGGAGGCTGTCATGGCCACAGGGAAAGCCTCTGGTGACCGCATGTCTATACCTGAGGAATTTATACTTTCTAAAACTGTATATTTGGAAAATATCTCTGTATGTTTACCTACAGAATTGTTTTAGCTGCTTTACTGGCATAATTTTACTAGATCATAGCAAAACAAAAAATACTACTAATTATATCAAAGCTGTGAATGCTGCTTGTACTAAACTGAGGTTGTCAAATACTCCCTATGTAACTTCACAAAATCTGGAAAACTTTGAGGACACGTGATTTAAAATACATACATTCAAGAATAGGAGTACACTTGCACTGCCGTTTTCCTTCGTTTAAACAAGAATGACTTACATCAGTAGAGTTCAAATAAAAGGCAATAATAACTGTCAGTATAGCACAACCTGAAAACTACCATTTCTTTGTTTAAATAGATGTGACTATTGCAACAAGGGTTTTAAGAAATCCAGCCATTTGAAGCAGCATGTACGATCACATACTGGTGAGAAACCTTATAAATGCCAGCTGTGTGGCCGTGGATTTGTTTCCTCAGGAGTTCTTAAATCCCATGAGAAGACTCACACAGGTAATGGAGTACCTTTTTAATATTGTGTTTATTTATGGTGTACACAAAAGCCTCACTTGTGAAAATATGTATTTGTTTATACGACTTCCGTTTTGGAAGTTGCTGTTGTCTCTTAATGTTCTCTATGTGCAGGTGAATCAGACAAGTACAATACTTTTTTTTTCCTGTTACTTTAAGGAGTTAAAGCATTCAGCTGTAGCATTTGCAATACAGCTTTCACTACCAATGGCAGCCTTACCAGGCACATGGCAACTCATATGAGCATGAAGCCTTACAAGTGCCCATTCTGTGATGAAAGCTTCCGAACAACCGTTCACTGCAAAAAGCACATGAAAAAACACCAGGCGGTCTCCTCTGCAGTAGCAGCAACTGGAGAGGCCGGAGGAGGAGGTGAACAATTTTTTGTTTGTTTGTTTTTTGTTAACTGTAATAGACCTTGACTGCAAACCAGGCAAAAATGATTATCAACAAATTGCATTCATGTGATATTAGCGCTATAATTTATGCCCTCTTGTTTCAAGATGCAAGACTATGCCCAATAAGCCAGTAAAATTGCTCCTTTACATTAACTAGTAGAGGAAACAGAACACACTTATGAATAGGTCTGACACATTCAACCCAGCAATAGTTTACAATACATCTATACGTGGTATTCCATCCCAATGTAATTAATGGTCTTTGCACCTTACAGTAATTTATTAAAAATTGTTTCATGGGGCAGATATCAAGTGACTTGTAAGAATACTTTTCATATTTCTGCTTTGACTAAAATCTTCCTTTCACATTCTGTCAACCTGCTCTTTTTCTGGCTCCAATCTCTAGCTAAAAAAAGGGCTATCTTCATTCATATCCTATAAGCAGCAAAAAAGCTCACTTTTTATTGGAAATGTGAGTGGGCACTTCCATGAATTCAAGATTCCACAAGAGTGGATTTTTTGGGGTCTTTCAGTATTTTCTACAGAATTTTAAAGTGCAGTTTTACTCTAAAAAAGTGACTTGTAAAAATGGCATTGAGCATTCCATACTATCTAAATTGAATTCCTTTTTTTAAGTATAAATAAAGAAATGATTTTCTGCAGAACACCAGGCCTGCATACTCAGCTTGAAATCTGAAAGTCATGTAGGTTCTTTCTAGCTCCTAATTCACTAACTATAAAGATTCTGTATTTGAGACTTAATTAACAATTTTTTCTATGTGGGTAGAGTTAGAATCCAGTGTACTATCTCCCATAGCTGTGTTTTCCGGACTAGGCAGTTTCCCATTGGAAATATAGCTGTGTTATAGTGGAGTTAAGGTTGAGAAAACCGATCAGTAATTTGGTGTAAAATACATTATCAAGATGTTGTAATTTATCATAAAAACAAGCATTATAAAACCAGGAAATTTAGCTTTAAGGTTAAACTTAAAGGAAACCCAAACTTGCACAGTTAAGACACCAAACAGCCTTAGCTCTGCCATGTAGACACATCATACAATAACTATATGATTTTGATTAAGGCATGTTAGTGTTCATAATTTCAGGTTAGATTCAACTGATTTTCTGTGTGGTTTTTAAATAGTTGTTTGTGTGGAAGAAGATGATGAAAATTGTGAAAGAACTGCTTCCAGAAAGTCTCGGCCTGGTGTCATCACTTTCACAGAGGAAGAAACAGCAGAACTGGCAAAAATTAGACCTCGAGAAAGTGCCACAGTCTCAGAAAAAGTTCTTGTCCAGTCTGCTGCGGAAAAGGACAGAATTAGTGAGATCAAAGATAAGCATGCAGAACTGGAAGCGGAGCCCAAATATGCCAATTGTTGTACTTATTGTCCCAAAAGCTTTAAAAAACCCAGCGATTTAGTCAGGTAAGGCGAAGCAGAGGGTCATGCTTTTGGGTGTACTAAGTTCTTTACTGGACATTTAACAGTATTAGCTTTTCATCAGACTTTTTATAGCCAAATTCACTTTTGTTTATTTCACTATGCGTTATGGGGATTAACTAGCAGTTATATAGCAATTTTTCATTTCCAAAGTGATTTACAGATACACATTGGTCTCCGTAATGTTTCCTTGCTATTTCATTCTCTAGAATTGACTACAGCTGCTCTTTTCTCCATTTCCCTGAATTAAGTTAGTAATTTAAAATCTTACAATGATTAATTGTATGCAGGTGTTTGGTAACATTGTGGGATTTTATTGCAGTTAAATTTTGGTATATAATATGAAAAATCTATTTGGAGAATGAAAAAGAATTGAAAAAAAATCCTCCCTCCCCAGTAGAACACCCTCTTTCCAAGAGCTCTGAGTATGTAGTATAACCATACATTTAAGTTTAAGTACTTCAGAACTTAAAACTTTAAAGATCTATAATAGATACAAAGTGATTGGTATGGAAATTAATATGTTTAAGAAAGCTAACCGACACACACATTCATGAAAACATGTTTTTGTCTAGGCATGTTCGTATCCACACTGGGGAGAAACCATATAAATGTGATGAATGTGGAAAGAGTTTTACTGTGAAGTCTACTCTGGATTGCCATGTAAAAACGCACACAGGTCAGTAGGAGTTTGAACTTGTGTACTTGCAGCCCCATTAGCTATCTTCTTAATGGGCTCTTTTATCTGTAGGTATTGGAGGATATGGTATATGTCACTATTAAAAGCACAATGTTAACATTAGATAACACTTTTGAGTCCATAATATCTTTCGTAGTGGTCGCTGATAAAACCTATTGTTTTAACATTATATGTATCAGAAGGTTTATGATAAGCCGTGTCAGGGAAATATAGCCATGCTTTGCACATATGTTTTACTTTCATACCTGCTGGAATAGGCGAACACTTTGGGCTGGTCTTCACTACGGGAGATTGATGCTGCTGCAGTCAATGAAGCAGGGATCGATTTTAGTGGGTCTAGTGAAGATCCACTAAATCAACCGTAAAGCACTCTCCGGTCGACCCTAGTACTCCAGTTCCCCGAGAAGATTAAGGTAAATCGACAGGAGAGCATCTCCCATCAATGCAGCGCAGTGAAGACATCAGGGAAAGTTGGCCTAAGCTACGTTGACTCCAGCTACGTTACTCACACAGCTAAAGTAGCGTAACTTAGGTCAACTTACTCTGATAGTGAAGACAAGCCCTTAGTGATGCTCTGGGCAGGGTTTGGGGATTATATACAAGTAGAAAAGTTTTCTTGATACAACTCATGGGCCAAAAGGTACTTTTTCTTGTCTGATGAGTTTAAAAATGAAACCGACCTAAATATCTTGGAACACTAAGTAGAAAGTGTTTAGGCCATTTTTCTGCAGAAGGAGTTTGGGCTGGCATTGATAGTCTTTTTCTAAATTGTTATAATAATTGCAGTGTGTTACCATGACTAGTGTCAGTAGATTGTAAATACCTGAACTAATAGACTTCTACCATAATATATGTATGAATTAACTAAACTTTTTCTGAGTATCTTTTTGTATTAGTTTGTTATGGCTGAACTTGTACAACTTATTGATGCAGCCACTTCTGAAGTAATTTATTACTCCTGGAAGTAATGGTTTCAGAATCAGTATGTTGTGTAATAATGCTCTTTCTGACCATGTAAGAAAGTGACCCAAGTGGTTTATAATGCCATAACCTAAGATTATATTGATTTCTGAAGATCCCTTTCATTCCAAGGAAGCGGTATTTTTTCCCCCACTAACAAACTCCAGACAGTATCTGTGTTGATGAATGTTATCCCAAACTTGTTTCACTGAACAAAAGTGACAACCTCCTTGTTGGGGATATACAATCCTGCCCTAAATAATCTGTGGAAGTCTGAGCTGCTATTTGAGAATTTAATAAACAGTCCTGTGATATCAGTTAAAGCCACATCTTGACTAATAATAATTCTAGGCTGACCAGGCTTCCACAGCCTCGGTATTCAGTTGTAAAGAGTTGTGTATTGGGCCAACCACAGTGTGTCTGGGAGCAGGTTAGTCTTGCCGTAAAGAACTGAGTTTAACTTGTTCAGGAGGTAGTTTGAGAGTTTGTCAGAGGAAATGGCCAAATAGTAGTCATGGTTCACTCATCACCCACTTGACTGGCTGAAATCCTTCCTTCAGTCAGTTTTAGAGAGGTCTGAAATGTTGTTCTTCTGTGGTATGGGTGTCTGTATATAGTATGCTGCCTGCAGTTCTTGTTTGGATAGGAAAGAACAAACATTGTAAAGTATGGGAGTTTCAGTTAGTACCTTACTTGAGCAACAGTGTGCCAGAAGCATGCTGCTACTTCTTCGACTAATTGCACATGTCCATTCCACTATACATGAATGTGTGCACAGTTATCACAGATTTTTTTTTCCCCTCCGCAGTACCTGTCAAGACAGCTAGTATGCCCTCTGCTGCCACCTGCCACTGCATGCAGGTATAAGGTGTGGAGCTGCCTTGGCCCCCCTCAGTTCCTCCTTACCACCCATAATGGTTGTTGGCCTGATTCTAGCCTTGCTACTGCAAGTTCTTCTTCGAATAGTGTCCCTATGGGTGCTCCACTGTAGGTCTGGTAGCGTCCCTGTGCCTGGGATCAGAGATCTTTGGTAGCATTTCCTGTTTCGTGCTGTGAGTGGCATCTATATTGCACTGTGTGGTCCAACCACTTTCAGATCCCTCTCAACTGCCCTTGGTCTGGGATTGTATCCCTAGCAGAGCCCTTCATTTGTCCAAGAACCTTTAGTAATATTAGTGCTTATGTTGCAAGTTTGTAGTTATTGGCTATTTCTTTTATTTTTCTCTCTTCCCTCAACCTTTTATAAACTTTAAAAAAAAACGTTTTTTTTCCTTTGCTCTTTCCTCCCTGTCTCCATGAGCGACCATCACTCATGGTGCATATGCTGAGTGAGAGGGGCACTTATCAAAAAAAGTGCACCCACTGCCTCAAATTGAAGGCATGGTCCAGAAAGGACCGTGAATTGAGACTAAAACTTTTACTAATGGAGAGCTCAGTGCGACCAGCCTCAGACCCTGGACCCAATACCTCTCTGTGGTGGTCACCATCAGCATTGTCATCGGCTAACCCCTGCTCACTGCTTACTACTAAAAGACAATTTAAACTCTCCCACCCAGATGAGAAGAAATGGGCCCCGAGCTCACCCACCAAGGAGCTGCCTCAAAGAAAGGCATCTTCTACAAGATCCGTAGCCTCAATATCTTTGGGGACGAGACCTAGCTCCTATGACCATCCAATCACCTGCAGTACTGGCACTATCGAGAGGTCCAAGGCAGGACTACATAAAGGAATACTGTCACTCGGGACCGAGAAGGACAGTTCAAGGATCTCAAAATTGGCACTGACCACTTCAACTAAACAAATGACTGAGTGCATCAGCACTGTCCAAGCCCTCTGCACCTGTGAAGCACGTGGCATCATCTACTGGTGGTTTGACAGAAAGCATTCCACCTTTGGTGCCAGCAGTATCCACAATCTCTGCACCAATACACAAAACCACCAGTTGCTCCTGCCAGTACTGCAAGAGTTCCGATGTGCTAGAGACCTGATAGTCTCTGATACCCCAGAGTTGCTGCTCCTCCAAATTGAGCTCTCCATTGTTCATACCTCTCCTCTGGAGACCCAATGCATACCACATCGTTCTCCATCAGCCCTAAGCACGACACCACCCTTTTCTAGTGAGGAGGAATACTCCATTGCTCCTTGCACCCTACCATCGTATCAAGAGGCTCCACAAAGAGAATCATACTACCACCCTCGATACCCACCCAGTGACCAGAATTGAACCAGGTCCCTGGTATGGACCCCCATTGATGCAACCCCATATGCTAATTCCCACAGATTGGCCCTATGGGGACCCTTGGGCCACGTATAGGTCACTCTTTCCCAAACTGCCAACAGATCAAACATAGGGCACAAATACATTGTCCATCCTTATCAGTCTCTAGGCCTTCTGACCCAGATTTGTTAGAAGAGCACGAGGAAAAAATGGAGGAAGATGTTACACCACCAGCGAACATTACTTCATCCCCTGACGAGGCCATCATGTCACCACCTCCAACATTGGCTGATGATTTTAAACATTTTCAAGAACTGTTCCGCAGCATTGCAGACTCTCTCCAAATCCCACTGGAGGAAGTTAGACAGCAACAACACAAGTTGCTCATCATCTTACAGGACTCCACATCGGCAAAAATTGCATAGTTGGACCCAGCCAAGGTAATCTGGTAGACCCCAGCATCAATACCACCTGACTATAAGCGAGCGGACAAAACGTACTATTTCCCCACGATGGACATGGAATTCCTATTCTCCCATCTTACTCCCAACTCCCTTGTGGTCAATGTGGTGTCATGAGAGAGGACGGCAACACCACTCCAGGGCAATCGTATCTCACAGGGACTGGAAGAGACTAGATCTCTTCAGTCGCAAGGCATATTCCTCAGCTATGCTCCAGTTTTGCATTGTTAATTATGAAGCAGTTCTAGCCAAATATAATCATATGAACTATTCAGAATTCACTGAATTCAGTTAACATTTCCCAGAGGACAAAAAAGACCAGTCTGATCCAGCGAGACATCTGTGGTAATGACAATGGTGACAAATCATCTCCAACAAGTGTGTGTTGGAAATCATCAGCAATGGCTATTCAGTTCTATTCCTCGCTCTTTTCCCCCCCCACCCCATCCCTCTTCAGGGACCCTTCTCATGAACAGCTTCTGCAAGAAGACACAAACCACTTTCTGAGACTGGGAGCTGTAGAACTGGTCACATTCCAACACAGAGGGAAAGGTTTTTATTCCCACTATTTTCTAATCCACAAGAAATCTGGCAGAGGGAGACCTATTTTAGATTTGAGGAACCTCAACAAATTTGTCAAACTACATGATTCAATATGGTGATGTTATCAACAATAATCCCAGCACTGGGACTAGCTCTTGGCCCTCGAGCTAAATAATATAATAATTTAAGATGTACATACTTCCATATCACCGTACACCCTTCCCACAGATGGTTCCTTAGATTTGTCCAGGGTCTGACCATTACCATTACCTTTTGACCTCTCAATAGTGCCCAGGGTATTTTCCAAAGTCCTCGGAGTGATGGCGGTGCATCTCTGAAAACAAGGGATTATAATATTCCCATATTTAGATGACTGCCTCATCAAGGCTCTGTCCAGAGTCGATGTGTTCCAAGCCATAAGAACAACAATGGATCTTTTCTTGAAACTCGCCCACTAGGTAAACATGCAAAAAACGACAGACACCAGTTCAACCTCTGAATTTTATTTGGGCCCAAACTGGATGCTACAAAGGCCAGAGCCTTCCTCCCAGCTCACAGATTTTCCACGATACTCATTCTCATCTCTACTGTGAGTACCAGCCCACAGGTCTCCACCAGAACTTGTCTACAGTTGCTCGGTCATATGGAAGCAGCAACATTCATGGTAAAACACACCAGATTAAGCATACACTGCCTGCAGGGATGACTACCAACAGTGTACATACCCCACAGACACAGCCTGCACAAACCTCTCTCATTACCACTCAAAGTCAAAGACTTATTCGACTGGTGGATGCAACCCTGAAATGTCTGCATGGGAGTTCCTTTCCACCAACCACCACTGTCCTTGATCCTGATGACCAGCACCTCCCTATTTGGTTGGGGAGCACATCTACAGACCTACACAGTACAGGGCATGTGGTCCCCCTCAGAATCCGGATTGCACATCAACTTCTAGAATTACGTGCAGTCCACAATGCATGCTTGCGCTTTCTACCAGTTATCAGATGGCCATAAGAAAAGTGATGGACAACATCGCCTGCATGTTTTATATTAGCTGATGGGGGAAGTCAGGTCCCAATTCCTGTGCACAGAAGCGCTAAAATTGTGGAGCTGGTATCCAACATGGCATCAACATCTCTGCCACATATCTACCTGGATACCAGAACATGACAGCAGATTCACTGAACAGGAGATTCTCACAAGAGGGAGTTAGACACAAGAGCCCTACAACACATATTGAACCACTGGGGATTCCCGAACATAGATTTGTTCAGCAAACGCTGAATGCCTACTATTCTGTTCAAGAGCGGGTCTGGGTCACCAGTTTCTGGGAGACGCCTTCCCCCTTACATGGGATGCACCTCTCCTCTACATCTTTCCACTCCTTCCCCTACAGTTCAAAGTGCTTCACCATGTACAAGTGGAATGGGCCAGAGTCATTCTCATAGCTCCAACATGGCCACGATATATATAGTATCCTTATCGCATGCCCATGGCAATCTGTCCACCAATCACCATGCAGTTGACTCCAAACTTCTTGCAGGATGAAGGCCAAATTCTCCATTTGAATCTAGAACTTTTCCACCTGAAGGCATGGTTCCTTCATGGTTCCAGGATCTGGACATAATCTATTGAGAGGATGTAAAGGAGATTCTTTTAAAAGGCAGACATACAACTCCTCATTATACTTACCTACATAAATGGAAAAGATTCTAGACTTGGTGTGAGACCAAACATATCTCAGCTTTTTTGAAATGTCCAATATCTTTTTAACAGTATTGCAAATTGAACTTCCTTTTCATATTTGTTTAGAACTCTGACTGTTTACATTGTTATACAGTACTGGTAATTATTGATTATTCTTTTGCTCTCTCTTTTGTTGTCCAGGTCAGAAGCTCTTCAGTTGTCATGTATGCAGTAATTCTTTTTCTACCAAAGGCAGTCTAAAAGTGCATATGCGTCTGCATACAGGAGCAAAGCCATTTAAGTGTCCACACTGTGACTTACGGTTTCGTACTTCAGGACGCAGAAAAACGCACATACAGTGTCACTATAAACCAGAAACCAAGAGGGTCAGGAAGCCTGTTACCCGTACATCTGCTGAGGGATTACAACCAGTGAATCTTCTTAATTCTTCCACGACAGACCCCAATGTTTTTATCATGAATAACTCTGTTCTGACAGGTCAATTTGATCAAAATTTGCTTCAGCAAGGACTTGTGAGCCAGGCGATCCTTCCTGCTTCTATGTCAGGTAAAAATGAATACTTTCATTTGGGTTTAGTTAGCCAAAATACTAAGCTCTGATTTCTGTTAGAGAAAGTTTACAGACATATGCCAAATTGTAGTTCTTATTCTGATAAGACTTCCACTGAAGCCATTATTTGACTCTTCCTCATAAAGTGGTGCTTTCAGGGGTGAAGATAGCATGTAGTCTGTCTATTAAGGATTCATTATTCTCAGGAGAGTAGAGAACATATTCAAGTTATGATTTAAAAAAAAAAAGCTCTTCATGTTGTTGTGATATTGCAGTAGTGCTGTACACGAAGATGAGGACAATACAGATGAAATAGCAGCCTAAATTAGAGATTCCACATTCTGGTTTATTTTAATTAAATTCTGTTGCTCTTTCCTGTAAAATAAGAGAAAATTAGTGTTTTATGTACACTGTTCATTTTAAAAAATATTTTTTAACCTTAAGCGTTAGGTTATAAAGAAAGGAAAATTCATTTACGTTAGTTGTGGATATGAAGAAAGCATTTAAAATACAGAACTATAAAATGCACAGATCCCTCCCTACAGTTAATTGTTCAAAGCAAAAATTAACAAAAATATTACAGTGAGCAATGCAGAAGAAATTAACATAAGTATAGGATAACATTTTCATAAGCAACTTAGACACTTAGGAGACTAAGTCTTCGTGAAAATAAATGATGTTAGCGTCCTAAGCATTTTTGAAAATGAGACTTAGGAATCTAAGGCACTTTTGAAAATGTTGCCAATTAAACCTTCTTTATAGGCAAGGATTTATCACAAATTTACTTCCATTTTCTTAAATGCTTACATATCCATCGAGTTGTAACCACCATCGTTCTAGCCTGTCTGGTTGGATCTTAGCCTGTTACATAGAACTCGGTGAAACTGACTGGTTTCAGTTCACACAATATTGGTAAACATTAATTGGCAGGTTCAATTTGTGAGAGTTTTACATCCTTTTGAGTTTTGCTTGAGTGGAAAGAGGGGCCTTCAGAATATTCATATACCTCAGAATGGGGTAATGAACCTTTTAAGCCTGTCGTTCTCAAACTTTTGTACTGGTGACTCCTTTCACATAGCAAGCCTCTGAGTGCGACCCCCCCCCCCATTCTAAATTAAAAACACTTTTTTATATATTTAACACCATTATAAATGCTGGATGCAAAGCAGGGTTTGGGGTGGAGGCTGACAGCTCACGACCCCCCATGAAATAACCTCACGACCCCCTGGTGCTGCAGGTTGCCCAGTACTCCACAGGTATTTCCTGTAGATGTAGTGGGAGCAAATTTATCTTTCTGGCAGCACAATGATTGAAAATAGGGAAAGCAGGACAGATGGCAGTCCATCTGGCTGTTAAAATGGTTCTTATGTGACTTGTGAAAGGACATTTTTTATGTATTGTATAGTTTTTAAAGGATATATCCAGTATGGAATGGAATAGCCTTCTAAATTATAACAGTTTAACACGGGTCAGATTTGAAGTCTTTACATGTATTTAAATTCTACCCACACAAGCATTTATTGGGACATAGGTGGAACTTTGAACTACAGTGTTGCTGTACTCTGGGTAAACTTCATATGTGCATGCATATTCAAACTTAATGGTACAATTATTTGCGGATGTGTGTTTTACATTCAGAGAGGGTGTACGTTCAAAAAGTGAAAATATTGAAATATTTGAACCTTTGTGTCTAGAAATCCAAAGTCATTCTGAAACTATTCTACTTTATGAAAGAAGCTGGTCACTGCTTAAATACTTTGATTTTTTCCCTCTAAATGCATTATGCACATTTGTTTTAAATTTAAAAAATGGAGCACTGACTACTTGAATCTAATTTATTTTTCTTGGTTCACAGAATTGCAAATGCTTAGATATTTCAGAATGATTTCATTTAAAAAAAAACTGGATAAAAAGGAGACCAATAATGATAAAGAAAAAATTATAATATGACTATTTTCTTTGGTAGCTGGAGGTGACTTAACTGTGTCCTTGACAGATGGTAGCTTGGCCACCCTTGAAGGCATACAGTTACAGCTTGCTACTAATCTGGTTGGACAGAACGTTCAAATTTCTGGAATAGATGCTGCCAGTATTAACAACATCACATTACAGGTAGGTTACTGTTAATTTCTATTAATGAGAGTGGATGGAGTGTTGTGTGTAGACTACCTGTGCCCTGGCAGAGCCCTATTGACTTCACTGCACTGTACAGGGTGTAATGAATCCATGTTGTACAGTATTAAAAATATTTTGTTTGTATATATGAGTGTGTGTTGAAAATAAAACTTAGGGTTTCTGGTTTTCAGTGGCCTTTTTTTTTCTGAACATTTTATACAAATTATAACTTGCTTTTTATCCGTTAAAAACATTGGTTTTTCCAAAGCATTTTAGTTCAAATTTTCCTTCTGTTTACAGTCTTTCACGGAATGCTCTCCCTCTTAATGCAGGAAAACTGCATTATATCAGCACCCTCCATCTCTAGATTTGTTATTTAATTTTTTGACAAAGTTGTGAACATAATCCAGCAGAAATGTTTGCTTAAAAAAAGGAAGAGAAAATTCTTGTGTTCAGCCACTTTCAGTGCTTACTCTGAATGCACTGTGGGGAAAAATGGACTTGGTGTAGTTTTATTGATTTTAAACATACAACAAGAACTCCCATATGTAAATGTGAATTACATATACTTAAATACAGTGTGTATATAAATAAACTAGGGCTGTCGATTAATCGCAGGTAACTCATGTGATTAACCCCCCAAAAAATCGCACTGTTAAACAATAGAATATCAATTGAAATGTATTAAATATTTTGGATGTTTTTCTACATTTTCAAATATATTGATTTCAATTACAACACAGAATATAAAGTGTACAGAGCTCACTTTATATGATTTTTTTTATTACAAATATTTCCACTCTAAAAATAAGAAACAAAATAAATAGTATTTTTCAGTTCACCTCAGACCAGTACTGTAGAGCAATCTCTTTATCATGAAAGTGTAACTTACAAATGTAGCTTTTTTTGGTTACATAACTGCACTCAAAAACAAAACAATGTAAAACTTCAGAGCCTACAAGTCCACTCAATCCTACTTCTTGTTCAACCGATCGCTAAGACAAACAAGTTTGTTTATATTTACGGGAGATACTGCTGCCTGCTTCTTATTTACATTGTCACCTGAAAGTGAGAACGGACATTCGCATGGCACTTTTGTAGCCAGCATTGCAAGGTATTTACATGCCAGATATGCTGAACATTTGTATGCCTCTTCATGTTCGGCCACTATTCCAGAGGACGTGCTTCCATGCTGATGATGTTCGTTAAAAAATAATGCATTAAATTAAATTTATGACTGAACTCCTTGGGTGAGAATTGTATGTCTACTCTTCTGTTGTACTCGCATTCTACCATATATTTCATGTTATAGCAGTCTCAGATGACACACCACATGTTCGTTTTAAGAACACTTTCAAAGAAGGTACATCAATGTGAGATTTCTAAAAATATCTAGAGAACTCGACCCAAGGTTTAAGAATCTGAAGTGCCGTCCAAAATCTGAGAGGGACGAGGTGTGGAGCATGCTTTCAGAAGTCTTAAGAGCAACACTCAGATGCGGAATCTTCTTGTGGTGGCATCGGGCTCAGATGATGAAAATGAACATTCACGGACCGCACTGCTTTGGATCGTTATCGAACGGAACCCATGGTCAGCATGGATGCATGTCCTCTGGAATGATGGTTGAACCATGAAGTGACATATGAATCCTTAGTGCATCTGGCACATAAATATCTTGTGACACCAGCTACAACAGTGCCATGTGAACCCCTGTTCTCACTTTCAGGTGACATTGTAAACAAGAAGCGGGCAGCATTATCTCCTGCAAATTGTAACCAAACTTGTTTGTCTGAGCGAATGGTTGAAGTAGGACTGAGTGGGCTCGTAGGCTCTAAAGTTTTACATTGTTTGTTTTATTTTTGAAAGCAGGTTTTTTTTGTACATAATTCTACATTTGTAGGTTCAACTTTTGTGATAAAGAGATTGCACTACAGTATTTGTCTTAGGTGAATTGAAAAATACTATCTCTTTTTACAGTACAAACATTTATAGTAAATAAATATAAAGTGAGCATGGTACACACTTTGTAGTCTGTGTTGTAATTGAAAGCAATATATTGAAAATGTAGAAAACATCCAAAAGTATTTAAATAAATGATATTCTATTATTGTTTAACAGCACAATTAATCACAATTAATCTTTTTAATCACACGATTAATTGCGATTAATCTTTAATCGCTTGACAGCCCTAAAATAAATAAATAATTATTTATATATATATAAAAAAAGTAAATTTTGAAAGTTATCTAAGATACCAATTTATAAAGCTTGAGGGTGGATGTACGTAATTTAATAAAACACAAAAGTAAGTATATAACTCTAGCAAGGGTGGAAAAATAAGTTATTCCCACTGTCAGTCCACCCTTTTCCTCTACTCTCTTTCACCTTCTCTGTCAAAGGACTGAGGAAAGTGACCTGAAGGTAATACAGAGGAAATACCGAGTTCTAACAAGAAGAACATCCTGCAACTAGTCTCCTCATGTTTTAATCTAATGATTGTTACAGTTGCTCAAATTTGCTGATCTCAATTGCTGTGGCAGACCTGGAGAAAGAGGCACTCTCTTAGCCAGGGCCCAAACCATTTATGACTTCAGTAGTTCATAGGCAACTCTTTGAATTGCATTAAAAACAAATAGGAAGCCAAGGTAATTGCTGAGGAACTGGTGTTACATTTTTTTAATCCTATTTCATTGCTTAACAAGTCGTCAGCTGCATTCTGCACCAGATTTCATAAGCGACCTGTAAGTATGGCAAGGTCCAGATCAAAAGGAAAGGTTCATGTCTAAAAAGGCAGAGGGAATTAAAGGCATTTTAAGGCTGTCACCTGGAATTCAGGTTTTATATTAACTTTTACTTATCCATATCTGACTCTCTTGGTTTTCAGATTGATCCCAGTATTTTACAGCAGACACTACAGCAGAGTAACTTACTTGCCCAGCATCTAACTGGGGATCCCAGTATGGCTCCACAGAACAACTCCCTCCAGACAACAGATAGCACGGTGCCAGCTAATGTTGTTATCCAACCCATATCAGGCTTGTCTTTACAACCAACAGTTACATCTTCAGCTAATATGACAATAGGACCACTGTCTGAGCAAGACTCTGTGTTAACAGCTAACAGTAATGGTAAGAAGTGTTAATAGCCCCTTTTCTCTTGCCTTTTATGTTTTTTTGGCTATAATTCTTAAATCATTTATGGATGGAAATCTTCGTATTGGTTAACTTGCTCTTAGCCCTCTGGACTTCATTAAATAGATAAATTTATATTGATATTAAATGCGTTGCTGTTTTAAGTTTGATGATAAAATATACAACTCCATAAAGAGAGTTCTGTTTGTACAACATAAACATCTGGGGCCTGATTTTTAAAAATTTACTTGTATTTTCCAGGCACACTTTGACCTCTATTTTTGTGATTGTATTTGCAAATTAGTTACCTAAATGTTAACAATAGTTTCATCAACAATACTTTTGAGAAAACATAGAGGCTGCGTAGCTAAGCACATAACCGGGGAAATCCCAGAATTAGGGTTACAGGTAGAGCTGGCTGAAAAATGGAATTTCTGTCCCATAGAAAATGAGATTTCAAAATTTGTTTCCATTCTGAATTGGGGTGAAAAGTTGAAATCTCAGAATTTTTCATGAAATGAAATATGCTGAAACATTTCATTTTGATGTTATCAAAACATTTAGTTTCAATAAGGTAAAAACTTTCAAACTTTGTTTTGATTTGTTGTATTTTAATGTATAATAATATAAAAGTTGAAACAAAATGTTTTGACCTGATCAAAACTAGCCATTTGATCTTTATTTCATCAAAGTTTTCATGAAATTCATATCTTCCCACAAAACATTTCAATTTTATTTTTGATGGAAATCTTTTCTGTTGGAAAATTTTCAACCAGCTTTAGTGACAACGTAACTGATTGACTGTGTGTTTTGAAGTCTACACGATCACATACTTTTTTTCGTGTAATACACATTTTTTTCTATAACTTTAGAACTGCATGTTTAGCCTCAGTAATTAAACTGAGAAGAACTGATTTAAAAATTGTATTAAAGCTAATGTTAAAATTATATAATACACAGGTTGAGAAAAGATTGTACATCTGGGTGCTTGGATTATCCACAAATACAAAGTTTGTTTAAAAACTCATAAGATCCATATCGTATATAATCTGCAGTAACCCAAATTTAGATAAATGTAATGATATTAGATATTAGAATCCGAATATTTGGGTACATCGCTCATGAAAAGTTATACAGAGAGTTGGTTGTAGAACGCAAATAAATGAATGAGTGTAGATTGTCCCTCAGTAACTGTATTATCCTGTACGAACTAAAAGCATAGAATGAAAACAGCCAAAGTAACCTTTTAGCTATGTGCAATGTAACCTCATTTGATTTGGAATGTTGGTTAGTATTAGTTGTTAAATACTGTTTATACATAAAGTGTAGTTCTTCTTGAAGGTTCGTGACAAATTTTGGAAAAATAAGTCTGATTTTCCCCAGTATATTCAAAGTCATGTTTTAGTGAGGGTGGTTTCCCTGTCAAACTACAACTTTGTAGCTCCAGTTGCTTTGATACAGCTGTTGAGGTTAGTGTGGGTGGTTTTTCACTTTTTTTTTCATTCTCAAAAAACGCCCAGCTGTTTTGTTCTATTTTTGAAAATTCAAGCAATCTCTTAGCAACGAACAGCCTAGAAAACATTGGTGAAAGCTTTTGAAATTGGAAAAATTGAAAATGGGGTTTAGAATAGAGGTACTGAAACTATAGCTGTCATTAGCTGTCTAGCTACAATAAAATAAGCTTAGCATTATATCTTGCAAAGTTGTATTTTTATATAATTATACATGTGTACTATAACTTGCAGCACAAAGACTGGTTACCAAAAAGATCTAAAAGTTTAGGAAAGTAAAGATTGGTTATCAACAATGTTTTATTCAAAACACAACTTTAAACAGCTTAGTATTGTTGTAAAGACAAGGATTTCATTGGTTGTTTAAAAAAATATTTGTAAAGATCTGTATTAATTACACAAACAAAAGTACTGACATGTATTTTATTTTTTTCCCCCTCCCAACTAATATTTTAGGTGCACAGGATCTCTCTCAAGTGATGACCTCACAGGGTATGGTGTCCACTTCAAATGGTCAGCATGAGATAACATTGACCATAAATAACTCAAGTTTGAGTCAAGTTCTAGCTCATGCTGCTGGTTCCACCACTACAAACTCATCAGAAAGCCCGCAAGAAATTACCCTCACCATATCTGGTTAGTATTTTTATCACTGGTCAATCATTCTTAGTTCCCATCCAAAATGCTAGTTATACAATAACATTTGCTGGATAATTTTATTAGAGGGTGAAATCATTTGTTTCCACTGCCTGCAAGTTTAGCCTAAAGCTATATCTACACTATTTAGCTATGTTGGTCAGGAATGTGAAGAATGTGATCCCCGACTGACATATCTATGCTGGAGAAAGTCCCTAGCATAGTCACAGCTCTACTGGCCAAAGCTGTGCCTTCACTGATGACTCTTGTTTTGTTTGTGTGGGCTGGTTTTACTATACTTATACCTAGTACAGCTTTGCTGGTATAGCTATGTGTATGCTAGAAGTGCTTTGCTGGGATAATATACTGTACACCATTACTCATAAAGCATCCTAGTGCAGACATGGCTTTAGTTTTAAAGTATTTTAGATTCTCCAAGGCTAAAAATAGCTTCCCCAGATTTATTTTTTTTAAATGTTGAATAGCATTGCTTTGACGATGGTCATATTAGACTCTGTCCCCTCCTTTATTATATTACTATAGATATTTTTCTTTTTCAGTCTCTGGGTATGTCTGCAATTCAAGCTGAAGGAAAAAAAAATCTTCTACTGGCCTGGAAATATATATCTCAAACCAACAAGCCTTGCTGCCTAGATAAGATTTCTTCCTCTGGGACAATGTTCTTAAGTTTGCGGACAAGTTACCAGAGGAGGCCAGTATTGGAAGAGGGTAGCCTGGTGGCTAGGACCTCGCTACAGGCTGCTTTGGATGGTCCAGACTCTGCAGCCCAGAGTCAGAGCATCTGTAATAACAATGTATTGGAGTTCATGCTTCAATCATTGGGTCTTCCACAGGAGGTCCAAGAGACTATTCAGAATCTCCTTTTTGAGGCACCAACCATCGTCTTCACAGTCTCAAGGACTCCATGGTTATGTTTGAAAGCTCTGGGGATTTATACTCCACTCCCTAAAAAGAAGCAATTCCACCCTCAGTCATTCCAGTGCTACGCATCCTTTATGGTTAGGCAGCCTGTCTAGGAGGAAAGGGAAAAGTCCTCAGAGCAGATGCCACCATCCTCACTTTTTTGTCTTCAGTAAGCTCTTCTAGACAGCCTAGAAATTCCAAGCAATCTGTTTGACTGCCTTGTCGAGGACAGCTTTCAAGTTTGCCTTACACCAGTTCCTATCCCTGTTTTTTCTAACAGGTTATCCTATGCTTGTACCCATATTACCTAAACACTGTGGAGTTAGGCTACATCCTCCAGTTTTTTTCTATACCTCCCTTCCGTCCGTTCCCCCAGTCCCTCTTCAGGGACTACTCTCATGAGGAGGTCCAGTCTCTCCTCCTCTTGGGAGGTCCAGTCTCTCCTGTTGGGAGCTATAGAAGAGGTCCCTTCTCTCCACAGAAGGAAAGAGTTTTATTCATGCTGCATTCTAATTCCAGAGTCAAAAGGAGGTTGTAGACCCGTATTAGAACTGCCAAGAGCTGAACAAAATATATAAAGAAAACAAAATTTTGCATGGTGACCCTAGCATCCATTATTCCCTTCCTGGGGACTAGTACACTGCCCTTCAGTTGAGACACACATTTCCATGTGGCTATCCATCAAAGCCACAGGAGATTTGTAAGATTTATGGTAAATGACTCCCATTATCAGGCCACAGTCCTGCCTTTTGACCTATCTGTGGCCCTGAAAGTATTTACAAAATACATGGGGATGGTGGTTGCGTTCCTAAGGAAAACAGGAGTACAAGTATTTCCATATCTGGATGACTGATTGGTGAGAGGTCTCTCCAAGAGCCAGGTAGAATTCCGTGTGTCCAAGATCCAGTCCATCTTTAGAGTTGTGGGATTGCTTATCAATGAAGACAAGTCAGTCTTTCCCCTGTTCAGAAATTATTGTTTATAGGTGTAGTCTTGGATTCTACTGTAGCCAGAGCTTTCCTCCCGCAAACCAGATTCCAGATGATGTCAGTCATTGTATTGGACCTGAAGGTCCATCTAGTCACAACTGTAAGGAACTGCCTCAGACTACTGTATCACATGGCCTCGTGTACATATTTGTTTCAGCATGCCGGTGGGTGATCTCAATGAACTCTCCAGCTCATCATTAGATATGCTGGTTCGAATGCCCATAGGAATTGTAGCCACTACGAATTGGTGGATGGATCCAACAAATGTATATATTGGAGTTCTTTTCATGTCTGCATAACCACATTGACTCTGGTTACAGACACTTCTCTTGGTTGGGAGCCCACCTGAGGAATCTACAGACTCAAGGTCTTTGATCTCACTAAGATTTAGCTGTCCACAAAAACATGAGAGAGTTGAGTCATTCATCTTGCCTGTCAGGCTTTTCTCCCCCACATCAAGGAAAAGACTCTTCTTGTCCTTATGGACAACACAGCAGAACATTGTATGTGAACTGACAGGAAGGGGCTAGATCAGATCATCAAGAGATGATACAGCATTGGAGTTTTGTATCACCAACACGATTCACCTCAGTGTCCCACCTTGGTGTTCTCTCTGTCCAGATATAGCAAGACTGATTTTTCAAACCTGAGGTGTTCCTCGCATACTCCTGTTTGCAACTCATAACAGGAAGTGACATCTTTTTGTTCTAGAGCAGATCACATTCAAGGGTCTCTGATAGAAGCTTTTCTATTACTCTGGAAAGACAAGCTAATGTATGCTTACCCTCTGGTTTTGCTCCCTCCCAGAGAGTTGCTTAGAATCAAGCAGGATCATGCTTGTGAGATCCTCATAGCACTGGTGTGGCCTTGCCAGCATTGGTTCTCCAGTCTGTTGAGCCTCTCAACTAGAGCTCCTTTTACACTTCCTCCAGAACCAGACCAAATCCCACAGGACTATGGTCACTCGCTTCATCCCAACCCAGATGCTCTTCATCTTGTGGCCTGGATGCTTCATGATTAACATCTCAGGAGTTCTGTTCAAAGGATGTACAAAACATCCTCCTGCATAGCAGAAAGCCTTCTGCTATGTACAATTACCTGTTTAAGTTCTCCTTTAATTCCTTGTAGTCACAGCTGAAAGGAGGTTCACCAGACTGGGCTTCTGTATAGCTTGTTCTGGACTATTTTATTTCACCTGAAACAGCATTAGATCTATCAGGGTTCACCTAGCAGTGGTCTCCACTTTCCACCCGTCACTTGGTTTTCTCCAATCCAATGTCATTCAAATTCTTAAAGGGACTGGACTGGTTATATCCCCAAGCAGACGATCCTGTCCCTCTTGGGACTGAAATCTGGTATTAACAAAGTGGATGGGTCCACATTTTGAACCGCTGCTTACCTGCTTGTTACTTCTGTTAGTGAAAGTAGCTTTTTTGATGGCGGTTAACTCCGTGAGAAGGGTGCTAGAGTTACAAGACTCGGTAGCTGGCCCACCTTATACAGTCTTTTACAAGGGCAATCTATACTTAGCCCACATCTGAAAATTCTGACTAAATTAGTCTCTCACTTCCAATTAATCAAGCAATATACTAACCAAATTTCTTTCCTAAACCCTATTCTCATAAGAGTAAGGAGAGACTACATACTCCATGAGGGCATTAGCTTTTTACTTGGACAGGACTAGACCATTTAGGTCGTCATCACAAGTGTTTGTGGCATTCGAAGACAGGATGAAAGTTCTTCAGAGAATCTCGTCATGAATTTCCTCCTCTATAAGAATGTGCTACAACATTACCAGTGTAACAGATCTGGTGCCTGTACAAGACATTTGTAGAGCTGCAACTTGGTCATTAGTGTGTTCCTTTGCACCTCATTATGCCGTATCAACATTCCAGAGATGATGCCAAACTTGGATGAATAGTCCTTCCATTACTGTTCAGGTAGACTCAGATCCCACTTCTGAACTGCTTGTGTGTCACCTGAAGTGGAATGGACATGTGCAGTCACTGGAAGAAAAAATGGTTACTAACCTGTTCTATAACTGTTGTTCTTTGAGAATCATGCACGTGTCCATTCCACGACGCCCACCCCCTTCCCCTCTATATTGGAGTCTGTCCAGTAAAAAGGAACTAAGCATTCTTGGGGACAGCTCCATCCTTTATCCCGTGCACAGCAGTATGAGTCAACAGAGGGCACATGCACCACCCCGATGGGTGTCACTAAGCGAAAAATCTACAGCTGTAGTGCACTGGGCACACACACCTGTAGTGGAATGACCATGAGCACCATATCTTGAAGAACAACAGTTACAGAACAGGTTAGTTCCCATTTTATCAAAGGACAGATTTTGAACAATTAAGCTCTGGGTCCAGGTACTGGGTCTCATGGCTTCATTAGTACATTTTCATGGGCCTAACTAAATGAGACTTCATGTTTGCTCATGAGTATCTAAATATTAGTGAGCTCAGTAGTTAAGTGTACAAAAATTTGTCTGCCTGGTACACCTCTACCTCGATATAATGTGACCCAATATAACACGAATTCGGATATAACGCGGTAAAGCAGTGCTCCGGGCAGGCGGGGCTGCGCACTCCGGTGGATCAAAGCAAGTTCAGTATAACACAGTTTCACCTATAACGCGGTAAGATTTTTTGGCTCCCGAGGACAGCGTTATATCGAGGTAGAGGTGTATCTGAAAATCTTCACATGTGCAAACCAATTCTTTATGTTCGCAGGCACTAATGAACTGTCTCTTCATTTTCTGATGATTCCCCTTTCTGTAAATCAGTTTCATAATATAGATTTCTTTCAACTACATTTTAATAAATTGAGGAAACTTGCACATTTAGCTGGAATTGTCTTGTATTTTTGATATATAATAATACACTTGATACTGCTCCTTTTAAAAATATTCCTACAGTAGTGGAGTATACTTTATGAAATTGGGGATTTTTTTCTAATCTTCCTTATTAATATTGCGCCAAGTACAAAATTAATCCTTTTGATTGGATGTACTATTTGTCCTAGTACTGTTTAATGAGAACTTGTTTGTACTAAGTATATTAGCAGAAAAATTGCTGTTCTGGAGTTTCCAGATGTCATAGAAGTAATTTCTCTTTAGGTCAAGATCTTATTCAGCATAATTCTTCTGGAAGTAATGAGTTGAATGGGAGTTTACGACTGACAACACCAACAATTAGCAATCAATCAACAGGTGCTACGTTAACTATAAGCAATGATCAACTTCTGTCTCAGGGTACATCACTGAATGCTTCAGGTAAGCACTGATTGATTTCATAAGAGAAATAATAATTTTCTGTGTGGAAAAATAGTTGCTGGGCCAGTTCAGTAAATCTAAAATGTTAAATTCATTTAGTTCTCTGATTACAAAGCCCAAGTTTTTGTCTGTTTTCTCTACTGACTCCCTCATGTTCATCCCCACAGGACAGGGAGCAAGGGAGAACAAGGGAGTGCATCTAAAACTGGTGCACTGAGATAGTTAATTAATGCACAGAGATTTCCTATTAAATTGGAGGCGTTAGGGAACCTGTCATGTGGCCAAGGAACAGTGATAAAGGAGTCATGATTCAAATTTCCCATAGGACTTGTTATCACATTGTTTTGTAAATATGAAGCAGTTTATACTTCATACTCCTATACGAAAAGTGAAATTTACTGACTGTTTCTGGTGTGGTAGGTCCCTGTTGCTTTCCTTTCCCCTCTCCCTTAGTGGATGCAGGTCCTTTGTAATTATAAGCAGGCAGTTCTTCTTTGAGAGCATCCTTCTGGGTGCTCCACTTGAAATACACATGCACCTTCCATTGGAGATTGTTGACAGCAGTGCTGTTTGTCTTGTGCATGCACCCTACCCATCCTTGTGTCACAAACTGAGGGCCTATAGGGTTGCGACAGATGAACTGTCCTCAGTTCCTTCTCAGCTGCCGTGGCCAGAGGCAGAGAGTTCAGTAGTACTCTCTTGTGCAGATGCCTGCCTCTTAGTTGCTTTTTTAGTTTTATTTTTATAGTTAATCATTTTATTTCTTTTGGGATCTTTTCTACTAGCCGAGGCTTTGGCCTCTTGCTGCCTCCACTTCCCTTTGCACAGGGGTGTCCATTTTCAAGAAGCCTTTTATGTTTTGGGGCATGCTTACATCCCCAGGCTTTAAAATGTTATCTCACTTGCTTGGAGTCCTTCCCAGTTAATGACGGCCACTCCCACTGTATCCGCTGCCTTGGGAATACACGTGAGCCCTTAAAATGCAAAATCTGCACTAGTTTTAAGAGCCACTGTAGGGAGATTAAACTTCACCTCTTCATGATGGAGTGCTCCCTTCATCTGGCTTCAGGTCCGGGCCCAGAGGGCCCCCCGCACCCCCCCAACATACAGTGGCCTCCAAGCGACCATATTGCCCCATCAGCCTCCGGTAGACCTACAAGTGAGGTGGGAAAGATTTTTCTGAAAAGGGGTACTAAAACTCCTTGGAAAGAGCTCTAAGAGTTCTAAGAGATCTGCGGTACTGGGGACCCCGTGCCCCTTAAAGGCTTCCAAAGAGGTTCAAGAGATCTCAGTACCAAGGGTTCTAAGCTGCAGTCCTTGAGCTCATTTAAATCACATGGTACCCAACGATTGGTACTGAAGCCTCCGGTACCATCGAAGCATGACTGAAGTACTAGAGACTGTAGGGACTCCTCACTGAAGAAGTTGGTATTGCTTGCAACATTTGCTGTGTCTTTGGTGCCCAGCGAATATCAACGCTGCTAGCACTGCCCTTAGTACCTCAGGCCTCTTTGTCCACAGCCCACCAGGTTCCTGTGCAACCTCACCCAGTACCACAGGAGTTCAGATTTTCCAGGTATTTTTGTCTCCAATGAATCTATATTTCCTTTATTAAGCTCAGTTAAACTCCTGGTATGGCATCCTCTGCTATCTCTAGTACCTCACCTGTCACCTGTACTGTATGATTCCCCTGTGTCTAGACAGACAGATCATCACTCCTCCTTCATCTGCTCCTCCATTAAACTTTTCTGATGACAGCTCTCAGATGTTCAAATTTCTGTTCGGGTTCTTCTGATTATCTGTCTAGACCACACTCTCTGGAACATGCTACATTAAGGAATACTTCAAGGCTTGTGCAGCTTCAACCTCCTCAGCACCGTCCTTGGTATGATAATCCTGGATGCCTGTCTCATTCCCTTATGTGCCTTCATTTCCAATGGCCATATTGGGACCATTGGGCTGCATATTGCCAACAATTCTCCAAGGCATCCAGCGCTCAAAGGGAATGTAAGGGACTTAATTCCCTGATTCCCTCCATTCTCCAATAGCAATCCCCACCTCACGAGGAAACATTAGAAAAACAGGAGAGTTGATGAGGAGGCTACTCTGACAAATATTTCCTGATCTTCCCTGGATGAAGCTATTATGCCCCCTCCATGTGCTGTGGACAACTTCAGTTTCAAGACTTGATGAAAAGAATGGCAGCCACTCTTCAAATACCCCTGGAAGAAGTCCAGTAGACTCAACGTAAATTGTTGGACATCCTTGCTACACTATCTTCATCATGGGTGGCCCTCTTCATAAACGAGACATTGTTAAACCCACTAAGACAATTTGGCAGGTCCCTGCTACTGCCACCTCACTTCTCTCCTCCCCCCCCCCTCCCGACCTTCTAATAGCTCAGAGGGCAGACAAAAAGTATTAAGTTCCAGCTAGCAGTTCAGAATTTCTATTTTCCCACCCATCCCCAAACTCATTGGTTATGGATGCAGTGAATGAACAACACAGGGAGAACCATTTGAAGACTGTTTTGTGATAAGGCTAATGTTCCATGAGCGCATAGATATTTTGGTCAGAAGAGCTATTCAGTTGCCATCCTGCCACCCTGTAGTTCGGAGCTTAGAGATCAGTTTCAGGCAATTGTTGCGGAAGAGCATCTATCCAGAACAGCTTTACATTCCTCTCTCGATGCTGCTGGTAAGTGCTGTTAAATCCATCTCCACAGCTCTAATCATGTGTCAAGTCTCATGGTTGCAGTCCTCTGGAATTCCACGTGAAGTCCAAAACAATGTAGAGGACCTCTCCTTTGATCGTCTGAAATTATTTTGCAAGTTCTCTGATAAGTCTCTGTATTCTCTGAAGGACTCAGGGCAACCTTTCATTTGCTGGGCATAAATACACTTGCAAACAAGAGGAGATTTAGTCAGCCTCAGACAGTGTAGAGAACCTGATCAGCTCAGTTTCACACCTTTCACAGCGCCTCAGAAGCACCTAAAAAGAAACCCTGAACGCAGAGGGGGAAATTCTCAACTGCTGCACCTGGATTGATGCAGCAGCCACCATCAACAAAGTGTTTGTTTTGACTGCTTGGTCAACAGTCACAAACACCTCCGCGATCCAGATTTGCTGCTGTATTATTCTGCCCTTTTCTTCCTCCCAACTTCTGGGGATTGTCTCTCCCATTTCTGAACCTCATCATGGTACAGAGATTCATGATGGTAACACTAGCTGCTATCATTCCATCCCTAGATTCTGGAGACTGTTTGTGACCCTTGACCTTCAGGACATGTACTTTCATGTCACAATACAGCCCTCTCACAAGAGAGCCTTACACTTCGTCAGTATCGACCACTGTCAGTATCGAGTCGTCCTTTGCAGCCCATCTGCTCTGCACCCAGCGTGTTTACAAAAGTTATGATGTTAGTTGCCTCACAGCTTTGCCAATGGGGAGTAATTTGTTTCCCCTATTTCAATAGCTGGCTTCTCAAGGAGTGTTCCTATGTTGAAGTACAAACTGCTGTAAAGAAAGCCATGTCTCTCTTCCACATGCTTCACCTTCACCTCAGTACTGCAAAATGGACCCCTCTGACTTCTGCGGAGAATGGAGTTCATAGGGGCCACTCTTGATGCCATGACATCCAGAGCCTGCCTGGATAGAGAGGACAGGTTTCTCTATCTTACATACTTAATAGCTCAAGTCCAAATGAGCCCCCACACCATTGCCAGATTGTGCCTGCAGCTCTTTGGGCATGTGGCAGTGTGTACTTTGTCATGTTACATGCCTGCTTACATATACCCTGCTTCAAAGCCTGGCTCAGGACAGTTTATACCGTCCCAGCAGAGAGAGTTGGAACAAGTTGCTCTTTATTCCCACCATGTGCTAGTCTCTTTTGAATGGTGGAAGAATCCGGACAAGGTATGCTCAGGGATTCCCTTCAGTTATCTGCCTCCCACTGTCGCAATAGTTTTGGATGCATCCATCTGAGAATGGGAGACTCACCTATGGGACCATGTTATCCCATGCAGATAGTCCGCCCAGGAGTTTACATATCAACTTTCTGGAGCTCAGGGCAGCACAATCTGCTCTACCAGCATGATAGAAGGTCATTCTGTTTGTCTAATCACAAACAGGGTCAGTGTGTATGACATAAATCAACAAGGGGTTGAGATCCCCTTCTCTGTGCTCTGAGGCACTCAGGTAATAGAACTGGTGTATAGTCCACCATACCTGTATCTCAACAAGTTATTTTTACAGCTGCCAAAACACTATTGCCGATGATCTCAGCCAACACTTCACCTCAGATCACAAGTAGGAAGTTGAGAGATCCATACTAAAGCAGATTTTCCTTACCTGGCATCTTCCAAACAATAGACCTTTTTTCCAGTACTGCCAACCGCATATGTGCAAAATTCTGTTCGAGAAGAGGTCTCAGTCACCATTCTCTAAGGATACCTTTTTTCCTTTCCTGGTAAAAAAGTCTTCTATATACCTTTCCTTCCAATGCTGCTAATCTTCAGCGTTCTAAACAAATAGGACAAAGCCATGGTAAGTTTGATTGCACCAACCTGGCCAAGATAGGTATGGTTTCCTTCCCTTCTTTCTCTCTTCCCAGCCAGCCATCACTTAGGATTTGGGGAACATTTGTCACCCCAACTTGGACGCTCTCTGGCTCAAGACTTGGTACCTAGATGGCTTTCGGGATTAGAACTCTCCTGTTCCAGAGAGGATCAAGAAGTCTTTTTGAACAGCAGAAAATAATCTACAGTAACTCCTCGCTTAACGTTGTAGTCATGTTCCTGAAAAATGCGACCTTAAGCGAAACGATGTTAAGTGAATCCATAAGAATTAATGTAAATCAGGGGCGGGGGGTTAAGTTCCAGGGAATTTTTTTCACCAGACAAAAGACTAATATATACACAAACAGACAGAGCATAAGTTTTAAACAAACAATTTAATACTGTACACAGCAATGATGTTTGTGAAGCTTGGTGGAGGTGGTGGAATCAGAGGGTGGGATATTTCTCAGGGAATGCCTTACTGCTAAATGATGAACTACCACTCGGCTGAGCCCCAGCTGTTGTTAATGTAGCCTCACTCTGCAAGGCAGCACAAATGGAGGGAAGGGAGACAGCATGGCAGACAGAGACATGCACCCTGTGTGTGTGTGTGTGAGAGAGAGAGAGATGCGCATTGCCCCTTTAAGTATGTTGACCCCACTCTAAGTACATTGCCTTTTTAAGTAGATCAGCAAGTTGAGACAGCGGCTGGTGCCAGCAAGCTCCCTCCATCCTGAGCCCTGTCCTGTCCCAGATGTCCCTGCTCTATAGAGATGGGGTGAGCGGGGGGGAGAGGGACACCGTGACATTAGCCCCCCTCTTACCTCCCCCCTGCACAGCAAGCGGGAAGCTACCGGGAGCAGCTCCAAGGCAGGGCAGGAGCAGCACGTGGCAGTGGCGGAGCTGAACTGCTGGAAATTGATAGCCTGCTGGGCAGCTGCCGCACAGGGAACTTAGGGTAGCGGGGAGCTGATAGAGGGGCAGCCGTCCACCCTACTTCCAATCCTCCAGCTAACTGCAATGGGTTGCTCTTTCTGTAAGCAGTGGACAAAGTAAGCGGCTGCCAAACGATGTTATAAGGGAGCATTGTGCAACTTTAAACGAGCATGTTCTCTAATTGATCAGCAGCGTAACAACGAAACAATGTTAACCGGGACGACTTTAAGTGAGTAGTTACTGTACCATGAATTACCTTCAGAAATGGAAGCTATTTTACCACTGGTGCACTTACCATCACCTCTCTCTGTTGATTCTCCATCTTGGAGATTTTGGGATACCTATTCAATCTGAAGAAAGAAGGTCTCTCGTTAAGCTCCATTCAAGTCTGCCTAGCAGTCATCACAGAATTTAATTCTCCTCTGGAAGGTTTTTCAGTATTTGCTCGTCCTTCAGGTTCCAGAATCATCAAAGTGTTATCAACCCTCTTCCTAAGTGTGAACATGGGGTTTGAACTTAGTTCTTAATTTTTTAATGAAATCTCCCTTAGTGCCATTAGCTTGTTGTACGCTTCTAAATCTTTCCATGAAAATGTTTTTTGACAAATACCGCTTGTAACCGTGCCCCAGTGGGTCACAACTGAGAATACCAAATTCAGGACAAACTGTTGAGAAATAGGGCAAACACACCCCAAAATTGGTGGTTATTATTCCACAAGATATACTAGACCAGTAACAGAAGTAAACTGATGTTTCACCACACTGGCTAACAAGAAGTCAGAAAAGCAGTCTCCTTAGGTGTTCCAGTCCTTGTATCACCACCAAAAAGACTAGACTTAATGATGAGTGGTTATTTAAAACCAATTTCATCAATCAAAGGGTTCTTCTGATCCCAAAGGCCCAGCCACATTGACCTAGGTCAATATATAACTTACTCAATAATCATGCTGTTGCCAGTCCTTTAGTATCTAATATCTAAAGGTTTATTTATAAAAGAAAGAAAGAGAAAGAAAGAAAGAAAGAAAGAAAGAAAGGTGAAAGTTAAAAGTGGTTAAAGGATACATGCAGTAATTACAAGGTTCTTGGATCAGGCTTGTAGCAGTGATGGAATAAAGTGCTGTCTTAAGTCAAGTCTCTGGTTGCTTCCAAATCATTGGAAGGTCCTCAGTCCTTTCGTTAGAATGCTCCTGTGAGTATAAATCCATAGTCCAGAGGTTAGACTAGGAAAAAGACAAAACGGAGATGTCTCCAGGGCCTTTTATAGCTTCTGCCCTGTGGAGGGAAACCCATTGTTTCAAACAAAGCCCTCAGTCCAGTTTGTGGAAAAATACAGGTAACAAGATGGAGTTTGGAGTCACATGGCCATGCCTGCTTTGCTTAGTCATAGCAGAGGCCATTACTCCTACTCTAGTTAGAATGTTCACAGGAAAGTCTATTAAGTAAATAGGCATCTTCCATGGTTCATTGTGAGTTAAGTGTTCTTTGATGGGCCATTCAACTTGGATAGTTCCTTCACAATGTGCTGACTAAATAACTTTAGATGGCTAAGGTGCATACATGCACTGAAGGAGCCACTGCTGCTGAAAATCTCCAATCAAATGTGCAAGGGGCATGTGCACACCTCCAGTGGAGCCCCCCATTGTGGGGGGGCTTATTATACAAGGTAAGTAACATCTCCTTTTGCATTAGTGTCTGAACTGGCTCTGAATAGTTGTAAATGAATTCATTAGATTTAGATGGTGGGCAGTGCAGCTTTTAGATTATTCCAATATTTTCTGAACTCTCTGTCATGGAGTGTTCATTGGTGTTACATCAGGATAAAGGTCTATACCATACAGGGCTGAACTTTCTCAATAAATCGAAGGTCTAAAACTTCATGAACAAAGTAATCTTTCTCTTAACAATAGTAGGTATTAAAACATAATTCTGTGCACTGCAGACTAATAAGTAGTACGTGCCTCATACTGTTCAGGCAGGTGGCAGCCAATAGAATGTTTTCAGCCTTGAGGATGACTTTCTCATATCCTCAGTTATTTCAGATTCAGAATAAACTGGTTCATGACTAGGCAGCTTGTTTATATAGATGCTGTTGGAACTACCTGGTGGCTATTTCAAGCCACTAAATTTCTATTATTTTCATATACTGTAATGTGTTCTAATGTAGGTTTATATTTTTGGGGCCCTGTTCTGCAAACAGATGCATTAACTAATCTGTTTACAGAATTACATTATTATTATTATTTTCTTATTTTTATATTAGAGTGGACACATCTCACCATAATATCTGAGCCTTTTATACAGGAAAATAAGATCTGGCTCTGCTCTTGCTATCCTAATGTTTGGTCACTTTTACTGGTTTTTGTTTTGGGGTGGAATTTTCTTTCTTTGGGTTTCTTTAAATTTTGTTGTCATCTTGGCTTCTGGTGTAAGTAGACTTTTGAAAAAGGTGATTTTTTTTCTTCTGAGTTCTGAAGGTGATCAGACGAAGACACATTCTAATCTCCTGTGGTAGGGTGTTCCATAGTGTTTTACCGATCAATGAAAACTTGTCTTCAGTTATACTGCTTGTAATGGACCCATGTCCATGCAGCACAGTGCAAGACTCACACATACAACAAATTGTTTTTCCCATTGTTTGCCACCTGTTTGACTAAAAGAGGAGAAAGATCTGCAGTAGTGCCACCAAGTCTTAGTAAAGAATTAGCAAGCAAGAAATTATCACCTAAGTTATTCACCTAAAATAAAGTAGCCCTGTAGTTAGGATTGATGCTTATTTTTCCTTTTTTAATGTTGTGCATACTTTATTTTTTGCAGAACTTAATACGTCAAGTGGAAATCTTCCTTCAACACCACCCATGTCTCAATCCACAGTTTCTGCTCAGAACTTAGTAATGTCTTCGTCAGGAGTTGGAGGAGATGGTAGTGTTACCTTGACCTTGGCTGATACTCAGGGCATGTTATCTAGTGGTCTTGATTCAGTTACACTGAATATCACTTCACAGGTTAGTGCAATTTACTGCTCTGCTCTTCTGGTAGAGTAATAGTACGATCTCAAGGGACTGGAGTATCTGAATGTTTTTTCAGAAAGTAATTTTTACCACTTCTGCACAGTAGATGAAGATGTAATTAATATTTTTGCTGCTAACAGTGTGCACGTCGTTGCCTAGAACCATTACAAAATTTCTTACATGGAGCTGCAGCTTATGCCGCCTCATGCTCCCGTGGGAAGGCATGAAGGCCGGAGTTCCCGTGACCCTCCCTGAGTTTCCTCTTACTGCCTGTGGCAGCAAAATGGAACCATTCTTTAGAACAGCTTTAAGTTCTTTAATTTTCAACTGCATATCCCTGTCCAGATTGAATTTCTTTGATTTGATCTCCTTATACGACACTCTCTCCCCATTCCCCCTCCTCCCCGCAAGACATACCCTTCTATACAAAGACCTCAAGACGGTGGAGTCAAAACCTGTAGGCTTCAAGCCTTGTCCTTCCTTTGACAGACTAATTTTTTTTAAAGATGGACACAGCAGTTGTCTGTTTTTGAGGTGTATAATTCATCCAAGCAGCAGGTGCTTGGTTTGCCTTTCATTCTCTACTCATCTTAAAGGTCAAGAGATGTGAGCCTGAAGCTCCATCTCTTAGAACAGTCTGAGAGTGACATGAGACTTAGAAGATCTAGGCTCGAGTACCCCCATACTGTTCAAATTTGCACCATCCAGAGCTCCATCAAGCAGGCAGGTAATGCCAAGATGACAGCAAAGAAGACTGCACCAAGCAAGCTGGCACTGACAATATCTACACTGTCACCAACTGCAGCATTGAACCTATCAAAACTTTTGACATTGTAGATGATGCCATTTTTGATAAATTGTTATGGTCAGTTGGTCAAGAGCCTAAATAACCAATGTCAGTCAAATTTATTAATATGGTATAGGAAAAAGGTTCTATATGACACCAGTCTTCAAAAAAGAGCCGTCCTGTACAGCAGTGTTACATTCACCTTATATGGAAGGTGTGCTCTCCAAAGTTCTACTTCTAAAGCGATCTTTTTATAACCTACTTGATTACCAGTAAAAGGAACCATATTCCTCATTTGAAACTAGTTCAACCAATTAGCTTTTTATCTTGTTTTTCTGGTACCATGGTGTGCCCCTTATCTTTGTTCTGAACACACTGTGCATTCTAAGTCATGATGGATCCTTATCTTTATTATGGGTACATGCATTCCAGGTACTAAAGGATGTGAAGACACCTCCTAAGCTTGCACCAGGATTAATAGGTTTGTGAGGGTAACTTCCTTTCTGTTTCTGTAAGGAAACAATTATATGTCCTGATACTGACAGTGTTCCTATCTACTTAAGCCAAAGCTTACCTCAGTTAATGCAAGGTATTATGGGATACTTGACATAAGTGAACAGGATTATTTCAAAGGTACAGGCTAATTTGGTATATATAATGGCTATAATAATACTTAATATGGCTACTTAATGCTTAATATATATGTATGATAGCCAGCATAAATTAGTCAACATCACAGACATTCTTCTTAGCGTATGCACAACAAGCCTCAGGTGGCACGTGGCCAGGGTTCATCACCAAATTTGGTTTGCTAGTTGGATCATTAGCTTCCCCGGCCTGGGCTGGAAACTGATGGGGAGTGTAACATAAATGCTGATCCATGCCCCCCATCACAGACATTGAAATAGGACACTAAAACAGGCCACCCAGAACATTGGGGAAGGAGTTTGAGGAAAAACTCAGTGTCCTCTCATGCAGAGAGAGACTGGAAGGCAAGAGGATGAACCTTCTCCAGCATGGAAAATGAGTGAAAAGGAGTAGATTGCAGGGCATCAGACTACATTTAGTACCAAAAGCACACGTACCATGATCAACCTTGGCACCCAGGACATACATCCAAGACATACGTCAGCACTGCAATATCCAACGAGGGCTAACAAGACCCCAGTACTGATGGCTCCCTACCCATCAGTGCCACCCATGGAAGAGAGAGACACCTCATCATCAGGATGCAAGCTGGCACTAGCATTGAGCAGGGAGCTGCCCCCCCCCCCCACGTGATCCATGAGTGGTGCCACCAAGAGACCCGAGGAATTCATCAGAGCCCAACCTTTGTTGGCTCTGGAATGGCATTGGTCCAGTCAGCAACTTATCAGCCACCTGGATGTATATGGGATGCCTCCTTGGCCCCTGTGGCGTACGGTCCATCTTCCCAGGTCTCTATCTTCCAAGCCCCTTGTTTCAATCGTGGAAGAGGAAAACTTCTCCCTCTCCAGCAGCATCCTTGCCTCAGCCACAGTCGCTGGATCTTTAGTGGTCTCAGCTGTCCAAGCGAAGTCTTATTCGGCCAAGAATGTGCCAAAAGATAGACTGTATTTGTTTAGGAGAAAATCCTATTCTGTGCATTGTTTCAACTATAAGTGGCTATCAGGGTTTCCAAGCCAAGTGTGACTTTTTAACTTGGGGCAGAGTGATTCTGTTCATCAGCAAGCTCTGTTGTGAGAGCAGAGAGGAGCTCAGGGACATCATAAAAGAAAACTCATCTGGTGGCCAAAGTGGCCTTATAAGCAGCTATGGTCAGAGCAGGCACTGCAACTAGGTACATGGCCTAAGTGTTGCCGATGTGGAAGGCATCTTGGCTCCAGGCTGTGTGCCTTCTTCATGGAGTACAAACTATGGTTGAGGATCTGCCATTTAAAGGATGAGAGAGAAAACTGGCGCTGCCTTTATGCTTGCTCAAGGACTCCAGGGTGACTGAGCTCCCTTTTGCGCTAGCTGTCCTACCATAGGCAGCTGAAATACCATTCCAGGAAGCCGATGAGATACAGTAGAGCACATCATTCTTCATGAACTCTGTTCACACATAACAGCAGTAAATGTGACCACTCAGACGAGAGTTGCATCAGGACAGGTCCGTGGAGCCCTTTTTTGGAAACTATCTAACCTCATTCCAATGGGCATTGATCGGATATTACCACTGACAAATTGGGTGCTGGACATAGTAACTCAAGGTTATACTACCCAGTTATACTACCCAGTTCCTTTTCCTACTCTGTTTTCCCTTCCATGTCCCCTTTCAGGGACCTTTCTCACAAGACCCCTTTACAAACAAAATTGGCCTTTTTACTCTGCCTCGGAGCCATATAGAAGGTGCCTCAGGACTACAGGGGAAGAGGCTTTTGCTGCCTGTGTTTATCCTATCCTAGACAGAAGGAAACTAAGCAAATACATATGCCACCTCAGATTTAGGTTCATAATACTTTGCTTCCATTATTCCATTGGTTCACAGCTCATGACTTGCAGGATGCCTACTTCCACATAGCTCTCCGCCTCGGTCACTGGGAGAACCTCAAATTTATAGTAGGGCCCAACCATTATCAATACAACTTTCTACCCTTTTGAGTCTCCATGGCACCAAGAATATTCACGAGTGCTTGGCCGTGGTAGGGCCACTTGTAAGGAAACCGTGACATCGTGTCTGTCTATACCTAGATGACTGGCTGTTCAGGGGCAAGTTCTGGGATGAGAAAAGACAGCCCTAGATCAAGTCCTCCTCCTGTCTTTCAGTTAGGGCTCCTGGTGAGCTATGAAAAATCATCTTTCATGCCATCTGAGAATGTAGAATTCAGAGGGACTCTGCTCAAGTCACAGATACCACAAACATACATGCCAAAAGACCTATTGAGATCCCTTCAGTTACTTGTATGTGACATAAGGGCGAGACTATCCATGAACTTCTGCATGTGCCTGGGATTATTAGAACGCATAAGTGCGTGTACTTATGTGACATTGCTTGCCTGACTTCACCTGTGACCATTACAGCACTGGCCAAGGACTGCGTACTCCCCATCCAAACACAATATGAGCCTATTGGTCACTGTCCTGCCCCAAGTCTTGTGAGAACTTACCGAGTGACTAAACCTCTTGATATGAGGAAAGGTGGGTCTCCTTCTTGACTCCCCTTGCTAACAGTGAAGCTTATTACAGATGAAACAGGGATAAGTTGGGGTGCCCACCCGAATCAACTCCAAATACAAGGAGTGTGATCACCAGACAATCTGAAGTTACAAGTCATCAAGATGAGGGCCACCAGCTTGGCCTGCATAGCATTCATGCCTGGTCTGTGAAACAATATAGTGCAAACTGTGATGGACAGTATGATGGTGATGCACTGTATCAACAAGCGGGGTACCAGATGGTCCTCACTTTATCTGGAATCCATCAAATGTGATGAATAGTGTTACCAACGCAGGGTGATTCCACCAGACTTTCTTCTTCTAGAAATCAACCGTGACCTTACAGACTTCTGTGGAATCTATCCTAGACCCAATATTCTGATGGGGACCCATCCAAATAAGCCATAGACTTATTTTTGCCACAATAGAGTGTGCCAAATGCAAGACTTTCTACTCCAAAGGAGACATATACCTAAGGTCTCTGCTGGATGCTATTTTTCTTTGGTGGTGTCACGGTCTCCTTTATGCCTTCCAGCCAATCCCCGGGATAATATCCAAGATCAGAGGGGACAAGGTTACCATTATCATGATAGCCCCCTACTGGCAGGGACAATTTTGTCTGTCAGACCTATTATAGATGTCCAGCCAACCTCCAATATGCCTCCCTTATTTGCCCATACATAGTGTCTCTGAACTGGGGACAGATACTGCACCTCTATTTGCACTTGTCGCACACAGCTGCCTTGGATACTGTGTAGATGAGCATTCATGACACAGATTGTGGCAGGTTCAAGAGATTCGTATGCAGAGCAGGAAAACTCCTAGCAGGACGTATTTTTCAAAATGGTGAAATTTTTCGATATAGGCAGCCCAAAGTAATGTGAATCTTGTTGAAACCCTGATTCCAGATTCTGGACTATATGCTGCTACAGTTTTTCACACTGTACAGTGGTGAGATTTATTAAGGTCTTCCTTCGTGCCTGACATCCAGTTAGAGACCTCCCTTTGATCCTTCATCAAAATGTTCATTATACCACCTACCATCAATACAATCGTCTTAGTTGCTATCAGGTTGGTATGGAAAGTCCGCAAGATCCAAATCCTTATGGCTGGACCACCATACACATCGTTTTAACATGGATAAGGTGGTGATGAGTCCACTCCCCAAGTTCATCCCCCTAAGTGGTCTGAGAATTCCATCAGGATAAGACACTCATCTTGGCAGTCTTCTTCTCAAAATCACACTTGTTTTCTCCAGGAGAAAAGAAACTTCCCACTCTGGATGTCCCCATAGCCCTAATTTACTATTTAGACAGGACAAAGCTCTTCAAACTCGCTCTGTCTCTTCGTGGCTTTATTGGGTGTATGTAAAAGCCAAGCAATATCTTCCCAGAGACTCTCAAAGCCGATCACAGAGTGCATTTCCGTTTGTTACCAGCTAGTCAGTGAGCTTGTCTTGCTAAACAAGGAGGAGCACTGCTGAACACAGCACAGGCAACATCGTTGGCCTGCTTCAGAAATGTGCTGATCTCAGAGATTTTCAAAGCAATACGTGGAGTAACTCTGATCTTCTTAAAAATATGCACTTGACATGATAGCCAGGGCAGACACCAAAAGTGGGATTGCAATCTTTGGCTACATCTACACTTAGGGCAGTGTGTAGAATACAGGTACTACATGTGTAGCTACATGCTGCAGTGAAAGGCAGGCTCTGTTCACACCTGACATCTCAGGGTATAGCTACACATGACAGTGAGAGGCTCCAGCAGCAGTATGTAGTCAGTGATATTAATGTCTAACTTTCAAGGACAAAAAAAATGTAATTCAGCTAAAAATTATATGAAGAGGTGGTGGGGAAAGGCTGAGGCAACGGGACACTAAAAATAGCAGTGCAGACATAGGAAGCACTGCTTGGGCATGTACAGACTTGTGTAGGCTATATATCTTGGCTGTATAGGTAGGGCACTCTGCTCACCTAAGCTATGCATTGCCATCTATGCTGCTACTTATACCCATGCTAGGTGGGAGTGTAAAGTGTCTCCTTTACACACCATTGTAAGTGTAGATATAGCTTTTGATTGATACAGCTGTGGCTTCTTACTCCCACCATCCGAGGAGGAGACTGCTTGCTAGTCACTTACAGTGTACACACATTGTACTTGAAGAGAAAAGAATGCTTACCTTCCTTACAGTAACTCTGGTTCTTTGAGATGCTGTAATCAGTGTGGTCCCATGATCAACCCTCCATCCCCATTTTTCAGAGCAGTCTGCAATGTGGGCTTTGAATTGCAAAGGAACTGAGGAAGCATCATGACCCCTCCACCATTTATCCCTCAGATGGGAGCACAAGGATGCCTGTGCAACCCTCATAACGAGTATAATCTGGTCTGGTGTATGTCAGGTGCATGCACACCTACAGTGAGATTGACACTGTCTACATCATGTCAAAGAGTCTCAGTTGTTGTAAGGCAAGAAACTGTTCTTTCCATGTGTTGTAGGATATGTAACTCTGCTCCTTGCTCCTATCTACTTTGTAACACTGCAGTACAAGAGAAAGTTCACTGGGTTTGTAATAGTGATTTCTACTTAATCAAAATTAGACAAATTAGTCACAATACAAGAACACATTTTAGAAATTTTAACAGTAAGTCCCAGTGACCTCTTCCATTTCATGTCCAGTTAGGAAAATTAATAGGAGAAACCCCAGTGTGAGATAGTGATGGAATACACATTATGTAAAGGTTCACAGTGGTACCTTCCTCTAGGAGCAAGTATTTGTGAATGTGAATAAACCTATAGAGACTTAAATAAGATATTAATTTTCATCTTGAAAATGCTGGTGCATAGTAATCAGTGACTTTAGATCCAGGCCTCCAAAATATTTTGTAGCGTGTACCAGACTTCTAGTATATTGTCTTGTGAACCTGCTGTCCATCCATTTGTGACCACATAATTTCTGTGTCAATACACCTGTTTCTTTTGTGGAAAATAATGGGAGAGTATTTATTATAGTTGGTAACTGTCTTTTTAAAATAAATTAGCAGCTGGAAAAAATAATGCACGCCAGCACTATGTGACCACCTGGCTCTCCGACACTATCTGCACGTGGTTCATGAGCCACGGTTTAGGAACCTTTCCAATATGTCAATAGAGCTAAAGGTTCATTAGCAAGTAGTATGAAGAAAAAATCTCTATTGCTTCACATTAAAAAGGACTTCAGTGGTTGGTAGCAAAGCAGAACCATTTGCATATTTAGCAATAACTTACCTCTACATATAATTTTTAGCTGAATTACATTTTTGTCCTTGAAAGTTAGACATTAATATCACTAACTACATTTAGGTGTTGTACATAGGCCAAATGTACAGCCAGCTCCTCTGTGATTGACATTTCCCTTCAATCTTAATATGTGAAAACCACTGCTGGCTTCTGTCTTTGCTGAACTAGGACTAAGTTGTTTGCTTATTTATTTTCCGTGGAATGGGGGGGGGTGTATTTACACACACACATATAGTATGATTAAAAATAGTGAAACAAAGTCTGTGGAGGTGACTACATTCCCTGTTATCCCCCAATCTCTTCAGTTTTGCATGAAAAATATTTATCTTGAGTTGGAAAAATAAAAATGGTGGGCTTCCCAAACCACTTATAAATGTATATCTGGCACGATATACCATGCAAATGGTATATCAAAATATATAATGATATAACGTGTTATACCATTGGTCTGGTGACTTCCTGCTATGTGGAGGTGGCAGTAATACATTGTGGTTTAATTTCAGATGACACTTTGTGACACTTTAAGATATGTGGATTTAGCAGAGTTGATATGCTTATTCGGATATATTTTTAACCCGCATTGGCCTGAAAGGGCTAGTTTATTTAAAAAAAAAAAATTTAGTTCAGACTGATGTTTGAAGTAATCTTTTTAAAGAGTAGTCTTGAATGATAAAAGGAGTTTCTATTTAACCCCATTTTATAATTCTTTTAGGATTAGTGGTTAATTATGACAGTTGACTGTGCTGTAAATACAATCACTTGAATAATTTTATTTTGATAGGGTCAGCAATTCCCTGCTTTACTCACAGATTCTAGTCTCTCCAGCCAAAGCGGTTCGGGCTCACAACAAGTCATACTGGTGAGCCATACGCCACATTCAGCATCTACAAACTCTGATGAAATAACATATCAGGTAGATGTAGTTTATTTGTGTACTTTTATGTATAAAAACATGACTTTAGATACGAAAATGATCTGTTTGTTCCGAAGCAGAGTTTCATATAATTTTTTAACTTTATCTTAAAGTAGCTTATTATGGAGGCTGTAGCTTTATAGTTAAGACTATGTTGATTTTGCACGTAAAGCAGGGATTCAGGCTCTTTGTTAACTATGAAAAAATACCTGATACCTTCTGGATAAGTACAGCACTTTTTGAGTATAGAATAAATTTTATGAGAATTTCCAATTAAATCTATTAACTAGTTCAGGCTTTAAAATGGGTCCTTAAAGAAAGATGGCACTCTCAGTTCTTCCCCCTCCAGCCTCCTCAGTAATTTTAATTACAGAATAATGCAGACGCTCCAGACTTTGCATGTAGTTGAAACTTGCTTAAATCTTGTACATGGATTACATTTGAAGAATTTTTAAAAGATTAATAGCAAGTTTTCTATCAGTTCTGTATCAAATTACAATAAGGAGGGGGAAAAAGAAAAAATATAATATTTAAAAAATGAATTTAATCATATATGGAACCTCAACCATGAAAATACCTTACTCATAATAGTGTGATAATTGTATGGCATCAGTACAGGGCAAGTTAAGGTTTAGTATTTGTGCATTGCCGATTCATAACATTAAGTTTAATCTTAACTCTTAATTTCCTGACTTTATAATGATCGGTTTGGGGAGAATTACAACATCCCTGTAATGTACTGACTATGAATAACTGTTTTGTATTCTCATCCATAACTTCCATGTTGTCATTGCTTTTGTCTTAGAATTCATATAGACTTAGATTTTTAATATTGCAGGTAACAAGAAACATAATTTATGCATGTAGTTTCTGCAGTTCCATGCATAATCACTGCTGCAAGGTGAATAAATTATGGTCTAAATTTGATTTTGAATATTTCTAGTGTCCAAAATTCTGTTTTAAAAAGGTATGCTTTAAAAATACAAATATATATCTCCTTTTACTCTTCTTCTTTTCAAACTAATCCTAGCCTTTTCAATATATGCATGATTTCCGCCATCGCAGTGTGTCAAATAACTTTCACTGCCCTTTTCTCTTACCATGTCTCTTCTGAGATGAGGTGACCAATATGAACACGCTAGTAAAGGTCACATTGTAACAGCAATTTGCCTATTGTGTATAATACTTTTCCCTATTTCCCTTTTCATACGGGTTACAGTAGCATCATGTTTGTTTTTATTTAACCATTGCTGACATCTTGGTATTGCTGCCCACACTTCAATCTTTTTCTGTGAGGTTACAACTAATTTAGGACCCATTAGTGTATATTTGCAGTTTAAACTATTCTTTTCAATGTGCTTTACATTGCACTTGACTTAATAAACTTAATCTACCATTTCTGTTTTTTAGTTTAATTCTTATTGAAATTCTATAAATCTTCTTTAGCCAATGACTATCCTAAATAATTTCATATACATTAATACATTCTGTGTCATGTTTGAGTCAATTATCTCATTCTAGAAATTACTGATTTTTTAAACAAGTTCTTAAGCAGCCTCAAGTTATTTCCTTAAAAAAAATGTGGGGCAACATTTTTTAAAATGCCCAAGTAACTTTGGCACTTAAATCCAAATGAATTTTAATTGGACTTAGGCACTTTTAACCATTTCACTTGTAGGCTCCTAAGTGCCTAAATCCCTTTTGAAAATGGGCTTTCGACTTCTGTCACTAAAACTTTTGAAAATTTTACTTGTGCTGAAGAAATAAAAGAAATGGAAAAGATCCTGTGACTTGGACAGTCTACAGGTTTATAGGCATGTCGTGCCCTCATTTCCAAATCCTTTCAAAAATTGTGAATTTTGTTTGGTTAAAAAGTGCGTCACTTTCTAACTCAGCTTTTGAGCAAGTGGTCTTTGCTAAAGAAAGAATAGAAACAGACTACACCAGACCTTTATGCACCTTCACGCATCTGGTACACATGTATGCTCGGAATTGCCATTGAATATATACAAAATATCTAATCACCAGTGTTCTTTCTTTTCCAGAACATAAAGGCATGTATTGGTCAAAGTTAAACATCCATTTCTATTACATAAATGCCTTTTTACTGAATTCTTCTAAGTGAGGCCTTACTCTCCTCCTCCTTATTTTGAAGTATGACAGGGTCATTCCCTCTTACCACCCTTATTGCTCATAGCCATTGAGCTGGTTAAGAGCTTTTTAGATTACCAGTTCAGATGCTTTATTAAAAGTACATTCTATCTAATAAAGTACTGTGCGTCCATTTCTAGCTATGCTATACTTTAAGATGGAGGACTTTGGTTTTTTGTCTGTCCATTTTAATTATGTGCACTAACTACAGATACATTGAAATGAAGCTCCATCTGGTACAAGTATCTCTGGCTCATGATCTGTAAAACACACACATGCTAGACCTATAACTTTGTAGAGTGGATCATAGTGCACTTCAGAAAATGGTTACATCACAAATACAGTCACACTAAATATATTATCACCCTTTCCTTTCAGTTCTTTCTACAAAGAGCATTAGTCTCTTGCAGAAACTCATGTATTAAATAGTGTGTGTGTGGGGGGGGGAAATCACTCTCACTAAATTAGTTATTTCTTGTATAAATCATGCAAGCCAGAGACCTTTGGGAAAAAATCTGTTAGGTAAAAATAGACAAATAGATGGATATTGTTATCAAATAGATGACACATTAATTTTCCTAATATTCATAATTATCAGTTTTTATTCTTCATTGATAAACCTGAATCTCCTTGGTTACTTTATAAAAGGCAACTAACTTTTTCTCCCTTGCAAACTGTCCTTGCCTGCTATACACTTAAGAAATCTTAAAAATCATCTTACCATTTGGGGAATAGACTACCAGCATTTAAGAAACTGGATAGAGAACACGCTTTTCATATTGTAGTTAGCTTTGGTGCAATCCTTTTTTTTTTTTAAATAGAATAAAGTACTTACGCATTTGCTTAATTTTAAGCACTTGAGTAGTCCCACAGGTATTAGTGATACAACTTATGGGCTTAATGTTAAGCATGTGAGTAAATGTTTGCAAAATTGAGGGCTTATTATCCAGAAAACATCACAGAAAATGTTTATTCTGGTGCACATCATCTCCCCTTATATGTGAAAAATAGGGTTTGTGGCTTTGTCTAGATGAGGAAACTTCAGTGGTTGAGTTTAGGTCCCGATTATTTAAAATGTTTTAGCTAACCCAGAGGGTGTCAGATTCCTCCTCTTCCTGCAGACTGTCTCTCGATTCTCTCCCACTGCTCTTTCAAGTAGAACTCATCAGACTTCATTCTTCCTTCAGTTACTTATAGCTCTCGTCGGCTGCCCCAATCCTTCCCCAAATACCCCATTTGTTGAAATCCCATTTCATCCATCACCTGACCCGACCATCTCTTTGCCTGTTGTGATCTTGAACTATGGATCAACTCTCCCACTTGCCAAAATGGCCACTCATTTGACTTGGTTTCACCAAAATCTACTTTATTTCTGACATTCTCTCTCTCTCTCTCTCTCTCTCTCTCTCTCTCTCTCTCTCTCTCTCTCTCTCTCTCTCTC